CTCTCTCTCTCTCTCTCTCTCTCTCTCTCTCTCTCTCTCTCTCTCTCCTTCCTGGTTCCGTGTCCTGAGCTGCTTTCCCCCTCACATCCATCTTCCCATGATGTCCTGCTTCATCCTGGGCCCAGAGCCATGGAACCAGCTGTCTGTGGATGGAGACCTCTGAAGCCATGAGTGCCAAATCAACTTTTCCTCCTCTAAAATGGTTCTTGCCAGGTCTTTTGGTCAGAGAAGTGAAAAGGTTGACTAATACAAACATGCATTTCAAAAAGTTTCATAACGTGATGTTTATGCATTTTAACGTGTGCAAGCTACTTACTTTAGATAGAAGAAAACAAGCATCACAGACTGCGCTTCAAGCAGACATTGAAGGGAGCAGACGTAGTGCAGGGTGAGAGCCAGCAAGCAGAGTAGAAAGGACCAGAAACACTGGTGGGGAGAAATTCCCGGAAAAGAGGAAGACCAAAGACAAAAGTGCTTCAGGAAGGAAGACATTGTTAGCAAGCACGGAGTCCATGGGACCCATCAAAATAAACACTACAAATAGATCCCGGGTTGGACAACATGGGGGCTTTGCCGACCCCAAGGAACTGTTCTAGTGGGGTGAATGGGGATAAGGCAGACAGTGGCAGATTGAAGAGGGAGTTGGGGCTCTTCAGGGAAAGAGACTTGAAAAGTTTGGAAAAGGGATTGGCCACCGGAGAATCTGAGGGTTTGGTTCTCCTTAATACGGGAATAACTTCAGTTTATTGAAATGCTGATGGGAAGGAGCCCTTGATGGTGAGGAGGAGGATGAGAAGAAAATAGGGAAAAACAAGACCCTGGGGGTCTGGAGGAGATGGTTCTGAGATCAGAGTGCCCCCAAGCCCCTTGTCGGGGGGGCCCTTGTGGGGGGGGGGGGGGGGGGTGCTGAGTGTTGGCATAATTGCTGCCATCTTCCTCCCCCCCACCCCTACTTTATGAATACTGTTCTTTTTCCCAAGAAATAGAAAGTTGCCCGAGATAAAACCTACTGGCCAGGAGATGTGCTGGTCTCTCCCTGTTCTCTCATTGAGACAGGAGATGACTAACCAACCCCTGAGGTGGGGACGTACTGGTTCCCTGTTCTCTCCTTGAGAAGGAGAAGGGACCTGCTGGTTTCCCTGTTCCCCTCTGAGATCTTGGAAAACTGCCTGTCTCTGTTCCCAAGAAACAATCTTGCCTTCCACAAGATCAGGGGGTGCTCACTATGTCAGTCAGGACTACACCCGCCCCTGGTGCGAGGCCATGATTCTAGCCCATAAAAGGTGACATACAAGAGGGAGTAGCTGCTGCTCTCCCTGCTCACTGCTGAGGTCCCTCTCTCTGCACAGAGCAGCCTCTCCAGGCTCCTGACATTAAACCCACTTCTTACCCCAGGTGTGTGTGTGATTAGTCCTGCGCCACTTTTCTTTCACTGAGCACAGTGTCTGCCTCCCTCCAAACTCCAGCAGAACACTTGGCCACTGAAACAGGCTTTCCCCACTCAGAGCTATTGCATTTTGTGAGATGCTACATGACCATGCCTACATCTTTATGTTAAACTCAGAGTTTTATTCTGTGTTATTTCCCTCATTGGTGTGTGTGTGTGTGTGTTGCTAGAATCAAACTGGGGCCCCGTAGTGCATGCTAGGCAAGCATTCTGACACTGAGCTACATCCCCAGCCCCTATCCTGGGTCCTTTCCAAACTAAGCCTTGGTGAAATTATTTTAACTCAAAATACCTGGATTTTTCTCTATTAGCAAATACATACGAATCTGGGGAAAATGCTATAGGTATCTTTTATTTCAAATATTTTACTTTACCTGCCTAAATTGGCCAGCAAAATTTGATGCCCAGGAACCTAATTCTGAACATGTTTAACACCATTAAAAATATGTGTCAGGCAGAATTACACAGCACAGAATGGACATGAAGGGAACGCTGGGCTTGGTTCTGTCCATGTTGATTGTCTGTTAGCAGCGATTTGACACATCCACCGCAGCACGGCTGCTAAATCGCATTTCCTCCCTGCCACTTTGACAGCGATCTTACCTCCTTGGCAATCATAATTTGCAGTTGGAGGTTTGCAGAGTTTCCAGAGCAAAAATTCCCTGTGTGGCACTTCAAGCACCTGAGTTGATTGGGGGTCAGGGAAGAGTGGTAGTTATTTGGGGAGAGAAGGGGGATTTGAGTGAGGAAGGGAGGCTTGATTTCTGTTCTCACATGCAATCCAGATTGAGAAGCTTTGAATTATCTGCAATTTACCAATGGCCAAAAGAGCACCTGCCACCGCCTGACAAGTTAGTGCGCACCTGGATTAGTACTTGGTTGTATCTCATTTGAATGTGAGTTGATGTCAGAAACCACTTCTTTCCTCTTGATTTGCATCACCATTAAAAAAAAAAGTCCCCAACCCACATGGTTTCACTATCCAGGCAAGTAACTCGGGTGCCTGGGCAGCCTGGAGTAAAGCAATCATTGCCAAGGTCGCCTGTTCGGCTTCCAGATCAAACAGATGCCTAAACTGTTGTTTGGGGTTTAGACATTCGACAGTTCTTGAAATGTGCAGGTGCAGATTCATTATACCCTTCTTATTTTTGCAAGTTTGCAAGTTTCCGTAACAAAACATTTAAAATGAAAAAGATATATTTATAAGCCAAACGACACCCACAACCTTGCATCCTGCCTACAGTTTTGTTACACTGTGTGATTCATTTGAGGGCTAAGTGGTGCAGAAGCCAGCAAACCCAACTCCACTCAGAATGCAAGGAAGCCCCGCCCCAGAGAGCCCTGGACCAAGACCTGCCCCCTGCCCACCTTCACCTGCATGGCTGAGTGGCCTGGGCTGGGCAGCCTGGAGCTGCACCTGCTGTGGAGGTAGTGCAGCGCCTGGGGAGGAGACGGCTGAGGGAGAGGCAGGCTGTGCACAGGTGGGGCTCTTTTGCTTTCCCACTTTTACAGTGCCACTGTGAGGAAGCACTAGCTTCCTGAAATCACGTGTTCTTGATGGAGATTAGAATTTACAGATGATATATAGCAAAATAACCTCCTGTTTACCAATATGTCTTCCAGCCTCTGTGTGGTTTTCTAAGAGCTGGTTATTATTGTCTCATTAAATTCCATTAAGTGCCATTAGTCCACTCCAGGCCCCGAGCCAAACACTATCAAGACACGAAGACCCGCCCCTGCGCAGGAGAGGATGGTGGTAGCACCTTCATTATAAATGAGGAAACAGCTTCCTTGGGATACATTCCCAGGAGTGGGACAGCTGGGTCAGGTGGCGGTTGCCTTCCTAGTTTTCTGTGGACTCTCCACACTGCTTTCCAGAGTGGTTGCACCAGTTTGCAGTCCCACCAGCAGTGTGTGAGTGAGCCTTCTTCCCCATGTCCTCGCCGACATCTGTGTCACTTGCATGCTTGATAATTGCCATTCTGACTGGTGTGAGATGGAGGGGAAGAAAGCATGGAAGTTCAGTGGGTTAGACAAGGGAGGATGAAAGGAAGAGAGAGGATAGGAAAAGGAAAGACAGTGGAATGACTCTGACATGAATTTCCTATGTTCACATGTGAATCTCACTATCATGTACATCATCAAGAATGGGGCCCTAATTATAATAAGATATATTCCTGGCTTGTATATTACATCAAATGGTCTCCACTGTCAGGTTTAACAACAACAACAAA